TGACATTAAAGTGTCTTAGAGTAGGGGTGAAACCAGCTGTTTCCTTAGAACACTCCAATGAAAGAGTTCATTACAGTCTGGAAACTGAAATGGTGCTGAGGTACCCCCCAGTCCCATTGGTCACAGCAACTGCCCTGCCCAAATTCTCACTAAGTGATCAATAAATCTGATCATCAGTAAAGAACATTAAGTGATGTTATGGTGTGAAGATCACAGACCTCTTGTAAGTGGTGCCACGAGTGGAGTGGAGTGGAGTGGAGTGAAGGAGCAAGAGACATTGATTCAGATGATGTGAGTCTTTCTAACATTGTTTATTCTGAATTTTCCCAAACAGGGTCGAGACTGCAGTGTGCCCATTAATTCCTGCATTCAAAATCCGTGTCAGAATGGAGGGACCTGCCACCTCAGCGAGGCAAATAAAGATGGATTCAGGTACTAGCACAAAGTTCATTTAAAATGAGATGATAAAATTTAGTGTGTTGCTTTGCGTTAATGAACTGTAATGTCTACTTAAACTGCTGCATGTGACATTTCTATTTGCCTTACAAAATCACTGTTTTGGTTCCACTGGTGTGACATTGCTTCCTGTGAAACAGGCCTCCTTATTTCCTCATAATGGAACATACATTTAAGAGCTTTTGAGTGGCCTCTATGATCTGCATTGTGTTATCTGTATCCTAATTTTCCTTGGGGCATTTCAGTCTCACATCTAAGCTGTTTTTGTAAAGCRAGCATCTGTTGCTTGACAACCAGATCCAGAATGTTTCCACTCTGAGGAATCTTGTAGACAAACAGGCTTTAAAGAAACAATTAAAAAGCACGGGGAGATTGCCACATCTTAAGCACTGTGCCTGCAAGAAAATAACCTCTGCAGCTGGGTATTGTGGGTTTCATTTGCCCATGTAACAGRGATACTACTGCAGGCACTACTTAACAGCTAAGAAAATACAAGTGTGAGCCTTTGGTCACTGGTTGTCATTCAAGTTGATAGAAAGTTTCTTTTTAAAAAAGAGCTGCTGAAATTTTCTTAGATTTGCTTCTCTGTATTTTTGCTGTTCCTTGCAAAAGAAGAAGCAGAAACAGAGGAGATTCCCCAGCACTCTCTCTGTGCCTGCCCACCCTCAGGAACTCCTGCTGACAGAAGCAGATGCAGCACATCACAGGACACAGGACAGTGCTGATACTGCAGTGGGGAAGCACAGGTGGATGGGGATGAGGAGACTCCATCAGGCTCTGTTGTGAGCAGCAGCTGCAGGATCTCCCACRTGGAGAACGGGAGCAAACACGGTCACATCTCCATGAGGAGATGGCTCAGCTGAGGTCTCCATGAGGTTCAGGGCACAGCTGGAGCATCTGTGACAGCYCTGAGCAGAGCAGAGGAGTCCCCTGAGTGAGATGTGACTGCAGGGTCATGGTGAGGGCTGGTGGGACAGGACACGGAGGCTCTGCAGGTCACAGCACATCCAAGTCATGGTGCTGCTCCACAGACTCTGGAGGTTCTGGTGAAACCTCTCATCTCATCTTATCTGATCTGATCTGCCTTGATTCAGATTTTAGCAGGCCCAGCAATTTTTGGAGTCGAAGTTGAGGTTCAGTTTCTGCTTGAGAGATATAAAGGACTGATGGTCTTCAGTTCCCTTTCCTTCCTGGTCAGTCACATACACAGCTTTTTCCAGCTTGTGCCAAAGCACAACTCTACCATATTAGAATATCTGGGTTGTATCACTCAGTACTCATTTTTCAGAAATATAGCTGATACTAAAAATGCAGTAGTAAAACATTTTATAATATCCATAATACTAGAACGAGAGCCTTCAGCATGTATTTTGGATTGGGTTTTTCTTTAGCATTTTTGTTTTGTTCCCTGGTAGAAGATAAAAGRTTTTGAATGACCTGAATTGAGAGCTACTTCTGAATTTCTCTCATGAATTGAATGAATTTTATGATTTCAGAGGCTTTGTTTCAGTTCCAAATGAGCATTGTTTTGAGATCCTTTATAAAACTGCAGGGGTGGTTTTGTTGCTGAACAACATTCGAGGCTTTTTAGGGAAGGATTCTGCTTTTATAGTTATTTATATAGTTTCAGTTGGTCTAATAAAAGACACATAAAACCATATCTCATCAAAATCCTGCTGCATAAAATTGAATGTTCAGCATATGCAGCGCTTCATTTTCTTCCTGTTTTTAATTCAGTCACTCCACTGCCCCTGTGGCTCTGCAGCACTGTGGAGCTTCAGCATGGCACAGGGAAATGTGCCATGGAGATGGAACAGTCCCTGACAAGGAAAATACAGAAACGTTCTGAGGCTGAATTTGGTTGGCTGGGTTGGGTTTTTTTGGTGGGACATCTCTCCAGTGGATGGCAGCAGTCAGAGTTTAAATCATGCTCACCAGGATGGGAAAGTGCTGCCCTGCATTGTGCGCTGCGAGGAAGCGGATGTCAAAAACTTTTTCATGAGAGGCCTCCTTGTTTTTTTATATTTTTTTTTTGTTGTGTGGCCTGTAAAAGAAATTATATCTTCTGTATATTCCCTTCCCTAGGGAGATATATTCATACACAAGCCCTGCTGCCAAACTTGTCAAATCTTTACTCTTGTAAAAAGGAAACTTAAGCCAAAGCTCTCTCCCTGTGAAATGCCAAGCAGTTTAACTCTCAAGTTTCTGTAGCCTTAGACAAGAAAATTACCATTTGAAATAGTGCTGAGGTGCTGATGTTGCCCCCAAAGGCAGGAAACTCTCAGTTGTGACTGGGATTGCAGCCTGACATCCTGCTGTGCCTGGAGCCCCCAAGGGCTCTCAGCAGCAGGGYCTGAGGCGCTCAGCTCTGCTGGAACAGCAGATCCTGGTGGGACAGATGCAGACCAAAGGTTCAGCTGCAGTCACCTCGTCCTCTTTTGCCCTCTTTTTTCAACCCTGAGTCATTTTCATATTCTCTTTATTCAAGTGGGGGCGACCCCTGTGTTGAGGAACAGATAAGTGGCACCGCGAGTCTCAGAGGGTTGGAAACACGAAGTTCTTCCTCCCTTTGAATTGTTCCTTCTAATCTAATCCGTGTCAGCCTTGACAAAACGTTGCCAAAAACATCTCTTAGTGAGGCTGATAAAAGAGATGGCCAGTGAGACATGTCCTGGTGGTTTAGCCTGCCTGGAGGGGAGGCTTTGGCAGAGCAGTTACCCACAGGCAGCAGCTGATCCCCGATAACCTGCGGCACTGGGAAACAAAGGCTCTGCCTTATTTTGACTTTTCTCCATATAAAACCCACTCTCTTTCCC